AGGTGGAAACTCCGCTCATCAATTGCGGTGCCCAGCTACATGGGAATGTTTTGGTGAATGACTACCGCAATGCAGTCTGACAACTCCTTTTGCACTGACCCATCGTGGTTTGTGCCCAGACTTTCGTGGTGTACATCATGACGCTCCTCTTCCGGAAAAAGCGTGTGGGGTTGCTTGAGGCTCATGTCTTGGTGCGGTTTGTTGCATGCGTGTTGTATTGCTTGTTGACGCCGCATTTTTCAGTTCCCACGTCCCACCGCCGCGTCTCCACTCCGAAGTACCCGCCGGCACCATGCCGGCGTGTCGACCATCGGGTCTCTCATATCACCGTTGACGGAACACCAGCGGCAAAAGGACCTCAGTAGTTTGGCGCATGCATGGTTGCCTGCATCATGTCGTTTCAGTTCCGCAGCCTTTCTTGCTTGATTTGACCTTGCCGTGTGTTCAGTTGCCATGCAGTTGTCAGTCGAGTTTGTGAACAACCTGGTGGCGGTACTAAATGTCCTTGCATCCCAAGTAGCGACAGCTCTGGACACCCTGAACTTTGCCCTGATGACCGAGCGAAGCAATCAGTCAGACACTAGAGTGCCTCCCAGGGCACCACGGAACTCCAGGCACGGGCTGCGTCCTCGCATCATCACAGAGCGCATTTCGTCTGATCGATCCCGCTCGCCTACTCGAATTCGAACCCGACCTCTGGACACTTCATCCACCTGGTATATACCGGCCTTATCCCCGCCTCGTGCGGCACATCGGGATGATGCTGACAGCCATTCTGGTCGTCGTGCTGAGTCGATGTTGGATCGCCTGCCACCACCACGGCCTCTTGCTTCCCAGCCCCCACACATCGGACGCGAACCAGGACAGACAACGCCTACGACGCCTGACTCGGATTCTGATGGTTCAGTCCGTCCACATCCAGGTGCATCGTCGTTCCGCCCGTCTCCTACGGTGGTTCATGGACCTCGGGAACTTCTACAAGAATTCACCATTGCCCTTCGCAATGCGCACCTTGAACCTTTCGGCATGGACACAGGGTGAGCTGGATGAGATGGTTCGACGGAAGAAAGACAAGGATTCCAGGCCTACCTACAAAACCATTGCCCGGTTCCTTCAGAAGCCCATTGAGGAAGTCAAGCAGGCCTGGAAGGTCTATCAGCGACTTGAGGCTCGCGGCTAGGAAGCCGTGCATCAAACGAGCCAGCGACCACCGGAAGATTAGCTCGCGGGGCGTGGCGGTGCGGTGGGGGAGCGCTGCAGGTTGTTGTGATGGTTGGGATTGCAGTCATAACTGATCACATGAATTTTGCTTGCTTGCACTTGCATGACATTTTGACCGGTGAAATACTGTTTGTTGTTGTGGGTGTTGCTGCTGACTTGGACTGAATGCATGGCCGAGCTGCTCAAATCATGTCGGAACAAGACGTGCAGACATACATTACTTGGACCCATGGAGCGCAGCCGACGTGGTTACAGTTTCACGGACCTGGCACCTTGCTTGACAGACCAATCCGGCAGACTACGTCACCTCCGCCCCCACCAAGATTTCCAATACTTCTTCCACCTCCGCCTCCCCCACCGCCACCACCACCGGTGATTCTACACCCACAGTTTATGCCCTCAGTGCGTACCACCTCGAACTCAGCTCCCCGAGGACAATCCTGCCCTGCCACATCGAAATCGCAGCGCACACGACGCTCGATTTACAGCACTGACCATTCCCGTGATGATGATCCACGCAGTCCTGGGCCTTCCTCGAAACGCTCTCGAACAGCATCCGCTTCAGCACCGCGGAGATCTCGGAGACCCTTCACCGTGTTTCCCTCCAAGCGAGCCACCCGTCCATCGCTGTCCCCATCGGCAAATTGCAAGCATTACTGTCATGCCTTCCTACGTCATGGTCGGAAATGTCTTTCTCCATGTGCTCGTAGACGACCAGGACATTATCATTGCAGGTGTGTACGGCATCAGCGGCGGTGAAGCATAGGTGTCGTATATTACAAACCTCGCTGCTGTGTCTCACTTTCAGTTTGAAAAGTTGCCTTGCATTGCCTCGGTTATCACTCTTGCTGTGTGTGGTCGTCATTGCTTTAGTGTCTTCGCCGCAGATTTTCGAGTGCGTTCAGCCACAACCTGTCTTGCCGCTATGAATCCTCACTTTTTCGAGTACCAGATCGTGAGAGGAGTGGAATGGATTCGGATTTACTCACCGGGCAGTTCCCAATGATGCTATAGTGCAACCCCCAATCTACGCTTCCACGTATCGGGAGTGGCGCAGGTCATATCGTTTCCAAGTGTACTGGTCAGAAGACAGCACCGGAGGAACAACAGTGGACCCCGTCATCACGCCCAGTTCGTATGTGTCCTACCACATCTGGGAGTACCGCGACTGGCAAACACGAATATATCAACGTCTTGGAGCTCCTGTAACAGCCATTGGATCTGCGACGCTCGTGAATGCGGACGCCAATTCCTCGGTGGACTCATCTGTTCCGGATGGGGCGTGGCGGGAACCTTCACCGCCACCATTCTATGACCCTTGGAATGATTCGGAGTGATACTTTGGCAGCATGTCGGATAAAATGACGCGGTTGTTCCTGCGTTGAGTGTGATTCCATGTTGGGTTGTCTTGCTTTGTGTTGTGCGTTCCGTCTCCATGTGTTCGCCACTTTCCTTTATGACTTCAAGAGGCTTGCCTGGTTGATATGTTCAATTCTACAATGTATGGTGCTGCACGATGGGTCCTGCCACACTACTTTGACTACGACATCGTCAATGGACCCGCGAACACAAGTGTTGAGTGGATTCGGATCTATGTACCGGGTCCGTGGCATCCAGTCGCCGAAAACACCTTGGGGCCAGCCCCGGAGGACTCAAAAACCTATCGGGAAAGGGAGAGCACGGGCGGCACCAATATGGGTGCTGTTGCTCAGCCGGTCTGTTATGCATCCTTCTATACTTGGCATTATCGGGACTGGGTCACCAGAGGATATCAACGGCTGGGTCGTCCACACCCTAGCATTGCGCGTCCAGTTTTCGCTTCGGGTTCACCGGACCTCATGTACGCTGGACTGACCTCTTCGTCAGCATCTTCAAACTCAGATGGTGGCTGATGCTCGTCCTCGTCTTCCTGGGGAGTCTATTCAATTCAATTCGATTCAGGAGATGGACTTCAACAACTGAGCCGTGCATTGCTGCAAAAGTGATTGCTTGCGTGGTTGTTGTTGTGTCTCTTGCAGTGATTGTTGTCCGCAGCCGTACACCTATCAATTTGTCTTCCCGGGTTTGAATTGTCATGCCGTGGCTGGAATGGTGTCCGGATCCTCAACAACCAGATGCCCAGTGGGTGAAAATCTTTCATCCGGGATCATGGACTCCACATGAGGAAGATGATGCTCCACCTCCGCCTCACACATACAGAGAGTGGAAGGAGTTCTATGTCCCAAATCCGGATCAAGACGGTGCGCAGCCCAATGACAGCATGTGGTACAAAAGAGACTGGGCTACAGAGGGCTATCGGAGAGTCGCTGCCCCTCATGCTGGTCATGACTTTGATTCGATGTCTTTTCCTGATCACCACAACGTTGCCACGCAATCCGCGGCATTGAGTATGTCACCGCAGATGTTGGAAGCGATTCTTAGATCCTCGGATGCAGCGGCTTTCTCCACTGAAGATCTGACTCGTCTCCGAGAGGGGATCTCTCAACAACTGTCAGATCGCGCACGTCATGCTTCCCACCCACACCAACCAGTACGTGCATCTCGTGGAATTGCACCACCGGAGACTGTTGGGGTCTCTGACCCATACCGGCCTGTGAACCCATCAGGCAGCACCACCGCGAAGGTCAAACCTATCTTCGAGCTAAATGATGACTAGACTCACGCGTGTTGGGCAGACTACCAAAAAAGGAGTGGTTTTCATACTTGCACTACCTTGCTTGGTTGATGCTTGTGCATGGTTGTGCATGGTGCCTGTCTCTTTACTAGCTGGATCTGAACCCGCGATACGCCCTGCCTCTTACTTCGTCATGGACATCGAGGATGCGAAGCTTCACCCATGGCTCGAGTACTCGGTCTGGCAAGATCAGGAGTGGGTGCGGATATATACCCCAGGACAACCTCAACGGTGGCACCACGGAGACACTGTACCGGATCTACCAGACAATTCTTTTCGGGAGCGGCAGCGGGTAACTGATCCTAGTGGGCGTGCTGGTGAACACGGTCAGGCATGGACCATTCGCGACTGGCAACATCAAGGATACCAACGCATTCTGTCTCGAAGTGAGTCCTTCACTACACAACATGCCCATGATCAATCACTTGGAGATGTTCGGAATTCCGATGCCATTCCTGTTGAGGAAACGTTCACCTATGCCACTCCTATTTCTGACGGTGATCGCTCGACTGTTTCGCAACTTGCTTCAGTCCTCTATGGCGACACTCGCAATGCTCATCGTGGTGATCTCTCGTTCCCGTCTTCTGAGCGGTTTAGGGCTGTTTCGCGTTCCCCTCGCCGCGGTGGATATTTTGGTCAACGATAGGAACACGAAGTGGAGCATGTGATCTTCCTGCCGAAAAGAAAAGAAGACTCCTCGCCCCTCATTGAGGGGCGTGTGTGTGCGGAGTGACAGAATACCCTGTCACCACCTTGGGTCGTTTTCGGAGGCAGGGGGCACGGCAGCTCATTCTCTAGCCGTGCCAACGAAGCTGTGAGAATGAGCCGGAAGGGAGTTTGGACGCAAACTCCTGTACCTGCAAGTGATTCTGAATGTCCTTTTGGCCCCTTGGTTGCGGCGCTGTTTGTGCTTCTTGTTCTTTCGGGTAACGTGTTCGCTGCTAGACGGAAGCCAAGTGACTGCAAGTCGATCTTACTCGAAACTCATCAGTTGTCAGTTGTACTCGAGACTCATCAGTTGTACTCGAACGATTAGCACTCTCCATTTGGAGTTCAAGTGTGTGTATGGGTGTGCGTGCCAGTGTCTGCATGCATGCATGCCGAGGGGCATGATCTCTCACGCTCCTGTCCTCATGGGCTGGTCGCCGCTCGTGTGGCAGGCCTGGCCCCGAAGAGGGGTGTTTGTGTGATCCGACCGTGTGCCCACGTGAGGTGATCAGCTTGAGACAGAGACCCGAAATGCTGAAATTGCATTTTTTGAGCCCGAAAATGGTGGACAAGTTTGTGGCGTGGGTTCTCCAAATGACGACGGTCGAAGGGATGGTTGACTCAGCGGGGTGCACGAAACAAGTCGGGCACGCTTCACAACAAGGTGCTGATGCCATGAAGCCCGAGGATTTGCAGGGGTGTGGTTGATCATGACACATGCCCAGTTGTCTTGGGGAGAATTGAAGGCTTGAATTGGCCCACCCCGGATATTCCATTCGTGGCCCCTCCCTTTTTTTTACGAAGAAGGCACGGGGGACAACATGACCAGCCAGGCTTGGTTGCTGACGTGCCCGCGCGCTTCGCGGAATCGCCATAGAAGCTTGGACGCAGGTGGTGTTGTCCAACACCGGCAGGGAAGACATGGTAAATCGAACAGCTACCTGCACACATGTACATGTACATAAAACGCATGCCATTCGTGCTTTCCTTGGACAGTATGCTGGAGTATGAACCAGTACATTTGTCAAGCATGGGCTGTGTTCCTGTGGCTGGTACTCCAAATTCGCTTGGGTACTGTTCGGGGTGCTCTTAGATGCTTGCCCCTTAGCTCATTTGGGCAGCAGGTTGAGCGGATATGAGTCATGTAAACTGAATGGACGAAGGGGTTGGGTTCATGGGGCTCATGGGATATGGAAAGCCTCAATGAGATTCCAGGAGATGCCCGGAAACCACCTGGCAAACATTTTGAAGCAACCAATCAGCCACAACGAAGCTCGAGTCAGGCGGTGCATCAGGCGTCCCGCCTTTCGAATGAAGGGATTGGAGGGACCCAACTGCCTCAGAGAGCAAATCCAAGCACTGGGCGCTTGGGGGACTTGTAACCGAACTGGCAAGCGGACAAAATGCAACGCATCGTGAGCTTGTGTCTGACACCGTCCTATGATTCTAGTGGCAGTAAGTCATCGCAAGCTGGTTGCTTCAAGCCTCAAGTTCAAGAAGTCGCCTTGTGCCATCCAAGTTTGCGTACCGGGTTTTGAAAAAGTCATATTGTTTGTTTGCTTGTTGTGTGTTTGTGTTCAGGTTACGAGGCGAGCAACAAAAGCTAGAGGATTGTTATGTTGTTTCTCTACGAGGCGAACAAAGTGGAACATGCTTCCAGACTTTCCAAGACTCGCTGAATACAACTACACAAAGCATAGCCCAGCATATTGTAGTTGTGCTGACCAGTTGATTCAGTTGATTCACAGAAATGTGCTCGGACTTTGTTCAGCCATCATTGTTTCCCAGACCGCCACCGGATCCGTAGAAAGAGTGGGAACGATACAGCACTTTGGGTTGAATGCCTCACGATATGCCGTGGGGTGCCCAGAAGATAGCGGTCACAGATATACACATGCACAAGTGGGTGTTTCTCAGAAGGGGCCTGTGGCTTTGTTTCAAGTTTCATTTCAACTTCTCTGGGTGCGAAATGATCGATATGTTTTCAGTTTCCCAGCAGATTTGATGTTTTTCCAGACCCCCCCCCCGGCTCGCCCAGTTGTAGCGCATCCAAAAGACCCGTTTGCGGGCCTAGGCCGCGCATTCCTGTGAGCTGGCAGCCAGGGCCATTTCGGCGCATTTCGTTTCACGCGAATGCGCCATGGCAGGTGTCAGAAAAAAGAAAAAAAAAAACGCGGCACATGATTTCGCCCTTTAAGCCAGGCGTGCCAAGGGCAGCCTCAAACAAGCGCCGCTTTTTAAACCATGCTTTCCAAGCGGATTCTGGGGACACATGCAGGTATAAAGGTTTGTACCTTATTTGGAGACGGCCCGTGAGGCCTAGAGCTTTTGCCCCGCTTGCTGATCCTCTCGGACGATTGGGCATTTTATTTTCCACGGGAGCTAAGAAGACCCACAGCTTTCAGACCCTCACAAGAGCAAACATCAAGGCCCACCAGCTTTGCCACGGCCCACGCCACCCCATGCTGGCTCTGCGGGGAGAAAAAGAAAAGCCGGGCCCGGCTTTGGGGGGGTTCCAATATTGCTCATCCAGCCTTGAACTGCAGTGGCATGGACTTTAGTCACTTGTTGGGTTTGGACATATTTTTTATGGCAAACATAAAGTTTCGACTGAATTGTGCCAGTGCACTCAGGAAGTGAGCAGATGATTTGAATTGCTTCCCTGGTTGTAAGGGGAAGTGGTCATGATTTTTGGCGATTGAACAAATGGATGACCTGGTTGGACGATGATATCCTTCTGTTTTGTCAGTGGTGTTGCTCAAACATGGCGCTTCTCACATGCGGAGACCTGCTCAAATGGTGTGCTTCCAACTGGTTCGCCCTTCAGACATTCTGGAAAGGGTTGTTTCTAGTTCAGAGACGGAGCCTTTTGGTTCATATCATTAGTCCATGCCCCTCCACACGCGAGCCGAGCGAATACTTGCTGGTGCCAGTTGTCCCAGCAAGGCTCTACGAAATCCTGAAGCCTTACCCATCGCTAAAAGGCCAACTCCGTGCGCCCAACAAGCAAAGCTTCCATTTCTTAAGAATAGGTGTTATTTGTCTCTGCTGACCTCAAAGGCACTCTATCACTACTGGACATTTTGTTTGTTTGCCAGGGGGCTTCAGCAAATGGAAGAAAACCAGACCCCAGATGATGGAGGCCGTCGCTGCAAAGCCGCTGTTAAAAACACATATTTGAACAGCTCACTGATGACCTTTGCAAAGAAGCTTCTTCTTCATCTTCGCCTTCTTCTTTGCCTTCTTCTTATTTTTGTGGGGGGTGGGGAAGGGTAATGTTCACGTGGATAATGTCAGAAACCCTGTTCTACTCTCTTCATTGTTTCGGACCCCAGAGGGAAAAAGCAGCTACTTCAAAGGAGGTGAAATCAAGTGCATCCAGTGGTCAAGAATGGCAAACCATTGATCATGCGGGTAAGGGCACCCTCGGCAAAGCACGCTTGTCACCAACCAAGTTTAACTTGCATTTTTCTCCTGGCTTTGGAGAAGATGAGCGTGTGGTTTTTTCCTTTTTTTCTCTGGCGGGGGGGGGGGGGGGGGGATGCGGTGCATTTGTGGGTTTGCTGGAAAGGGAAGACCAATTTCAGAAGAAACGCCCAGGGCCTCATCTGGCAGATCAGTTTTTTGCCAGGTCCCAGTCGCCATCGGTGTGCACGTGGCTTTGGCTTTGCCCTCAGGTGCGCGTGGCATGCTGGGCATAAGCCAAGCCCAAACTTTATCCTCAAACCACTGAAGCAAGCCCAGACCAATGCAACCATGAACCCCTCCTGGCCAAGTTCTCGGTCCAGTCCCAGTGGATGTGAACGAAGTTGGCGACATGTTCGGCCATTTGCAGGTGGATCCAATTTGAGCTTGCGGGGTTCGGTTTGAGGGCTTCGATTCGATGCTCAGTAGATTGCGCTGCCCGGCACAATCAACGCCTTCGGGACCCCTCTGCCAACTTGAAATAAAAATCTTATGGCGTTCCGCCATTTCGCCATTTGCGGCCCTTTCCAGGCATCGTTAGAGTCGCAGTGTTGTTGTTTTTGTTGGCGTGTGCCGCGCGCGCGCGTGTGTGTGTGTGCCAAACTCATCACCCTTGTTCTGCTCTTGGAGGTGTCTCACCGTGTGGCCTTTATGACTGGCCCAGCTGGGAAACCCACAGTCATTGCTCCTTGGGTGGGTTTCTTTGGCTGCTCATATAGACGGGACCCAGAGTGGATGATTCATTCAACTTTCTCCAGACCCCTCCCCCTAGCCCCCACAGTTCTTCGTCCGCGCTGAAACCGAGATCCTCCTGCTAGTGTTCATCGCCGTTTTCAGCATCCAGGCGGGCTTGAAACGCTTGGAGTATGGGCGCACGTTGCAGCCACCAATTGCCTACTCAAAAATAGGGCAACCCCCGAAAGGGGGCTGCCTTGCTCCCATTGCGAATCAACCGGATGTATTCCCCCAGTAGCCCCGCACAAGAGCATGAGACGCAGTAAAATGTGTCTGCAACCACAGGTCCGGACACAAATAACCAAACTGAAACTGGAAAAGGCCCCTGCGTTGGGCATCGTTCCAACGCCCAGCTTGATAAAGATAAGTTTCGTTCAAAATAAGCAAAAACTAAACTAGTTCATATGCTTGAGCAACCTAAATTAAGGGATTCCCTGCTTAGCTTAGTCATGCGGCGAGCAATGCCCAGAGGACTGCAGATGGCCTGGCCATTTGTTCCTACCAAGAACTGGGGGTTTGGTGTTAGGCTTATGGGGTGGGTGTGGTATTTACCTCTTAAATAGTGAGCCCTAAAGGACGAGTAAATGGATTTTTTGTTTTCCCTCTTGCGCTGCCAGTCCCTGCCTATGAGCGTCTATGAGTCAGTTGTAGCGAGCTTGCCGATATAGAACGAGCTCAGATATGATGAAGGTACCTTCCCCATGCATTATTGGATCTTGGTTGGTGTCTTTGAGCAATGAGTGTGGATTTAGTTTCTGCGTATTCGTGTCTGGCAGGTGAGGTGGCCTCCAAGTCCCTCCAAGACTTGTACTTTTTAGGGATGGGGAAGATGGGAGACGTAGTACATCCGTGCCCGCATGAGTGGGGTTGCCATTCACTGGCGGAGATATAGGCCATTCTCGTTTGGGCAGGTAGCCACGTTGATTCCAAACCATTGCGCTTCCCGTTCACAAGGTCCCGGACCTAGTTGTTGAGGACAAGATTCCTATATTGGCATTGCTGTGCTTGTTGTGGTTCTTTTAGAATCCAACAAGGGGCTTCATACTTTTACCCTGGCCCCTTTGAACTGGACCAAGGCAAACAACCACCTGCCCCTTCCAACATCCTCAACTATTGATCTTGTTCGCGCGGGCACCAACACACGCACAACGCAGGAGGGAAAAAAGAGCACACACACACACACACATGTTTGGGCACATGGGGCAGAATAATTTGCCCCCAGAAACAGGGGTTGAAGTCGCCTTCAGCGGAATCAACAAACAACTGTTACTGGATGTTGATTTGCCTGTTTGTTGGTAAAAAATCATACCAGTTTAGCCTGCTTCTATGGTTTGAATGTTTGTGCTCGCATGAACATTGAGCCTAGTGACTGCTGTAATTTACCTCAGGGTTCCATTCGTTGATTGATAGCTCGAGGTAGTCTGAAACCCAGACGTGTTTGACTTTCCTGAAAATGGAGCCGTATTGAAGTCTGCTTTGGAGCGACCCAAACATGGCGCCCCGCTTTTCCTGATTTCTCTTTTTGATGACTTTAAACATCATGGATTGGGGTGAGATTCCTGGGGTGGCAGACAAGTGGGCGAGGTAAGGAACCCTTTGACTGGGGTCTCCTCCAAAGCCAGCATCGATATTTTGGGGCAATCTGAAACACAATCTGAAGATCTGGCCACATGCATCCCCCGAATCTTGATGTTCAACAAAGGGTCCCTCATTGAAACTAATGCCCCCCTTTAATTGTCGATCTGTTCCCCGGATGTCATAAAACGGAGGCCTTCAAGTCTTTCCAAGACCCGGAGAAGTTGGACCGCCTGGTGCTCTTCGTGGTGATGGGTTTTGGCTCAGCGCTGGCGCTGGCGAAGGCCATTTCCATGAAGCCCAAGAAGGAGAAGAAGTGACGTCCTTCCCTTCAGCCACGCGGCTGGGGTCAAATACTGTCCCTGTGTTTTGTTGATGCGAGCTGCGGTTTTCAGAAAAGGGGACAAAGAGGTGTTTAACCCGAAAGGGGGGGAGGGTTGGGCCGACTTCCTTGTTTTTAGCGTTGTTTGGATTGCTGGCTGTTGTCTTGGCCACCTACTGTTGGTTTCCCTTTGGGAGAGAAAATGGGTATGGGTATCTAGACACACGCCCAACTCTGCGGTTCAGATTCGTGGAAGCAATCCATGAGGAGAATGGTATGGCTGCAGCCCACTTCGTGTCTGGATAGGGGGCGCCCAAAATAGTGGTTTTCCCTTTGGTGTTCTTTTGAAACTACCCCTAAAAATGGTAGTGTCAGCGGGTTGGGTCTTGTTCTCAGCCGGCGCCTTCAGCAAATGGAAGGCCGGAAGTTGTCTTTCAACCCATCCCACGTTGCCTTTTGAGGAACACTAACGCGTATCTGATTGAAGTGCTCGATCCGCAGAGCATTTTGTGAGTGATGGTGAGACGGGAGGGGCCACAGCTCGGTCTTTGAACCAATAAACTTTTAGTGGGACCCTTTGGTTGGCATCATTCAGCTGGGAATTCTTGTCCGCCGGCTACTTTTGAGGGGGTTCCCTGTAAAAACCTGTATGCATGTCAAGCCCCCCTCCCCCCCCCTTGCAAGAGGGGGGAAGGCACTTGTGGGCCTTGTTGGCATGGGGCTTTTTTGGGGAAGCATTGCCAACCATGGGTCAAATGTTTTTGAGAGCTGAACGTTGTGGTTATGACCACGCAGGCAAGCTGAACCAGCCAGATGAGAACCACACGCCCGAGCAGCAAACAGAAGAACCCTGAAGAGAGTCGTTTCGATCGGTTGTTTTCGTTCTTTTCGTGGTTTTGTTTGATTTGTTTCTTTGTTTTCCTTTTTAGTTTGCTGGCTTGTTTGCTTGCCTTGTTTGCTGAACTGTCTATGAGTTGATTTCGGCGTTTGGCTGCTGGATTAGGGGGTTCAAAGCGTGGAACATGAGCTCCAACTTAGGCACAGGTTCCACTTCACGAGGCCCGCCGTGACCGGCTGAGCGACCCTGAACCGGGAACGCAGGACTCCAATGGCAGCGGCTTCCTGTTGGCTTCCTTCAAAAAGAGGGGTGTCAATCCAACATGTCAGGCAGTGAAAGAAATGAAGGGTGGGATTGGTAGGTTTCAGATCTTCTGAAATCCATGTTGGAAGCCGGCAAGTGTTTTGTAGCAAGCCTTCCATCTTTCTGGGACCGGAGCCTTGAGTTATGTTTCCTGGGGCGGGCAGGTTGCAAAATGGCCACACTAGGCCCGGACAGGCCGGCCTGCAAGGCTTCATTTGGAGTGGGAACTCGGAGACCGGCCGAAGCAAGACAGAGTGCGAAAAAGGCTTGAATGCGCATGTGTCAAATCCAGCGGACCTTGGACATGTCAACTCCACCGGGCGAAACTCCTGGATTTGCCACAGCCAAGTTGCCGCTTTAATCGGGACAAACAGCTTCGCGACATAGATCGCTGCCGCTTCTCGCGCCTTCGACCGCAGGTTTTGGATGAAGAGGGGATATGAATTATTGGATTAGGCCTCGGTACCGGCATGATCATTCAGAAGCACGCCAGTGTGGCCACATGGTGATATCACAAGATGTTCCAAGGACGTATCGGACTTTACGCTGGTCATCCTAGACACTTCGCGCATCCGCGGCACGTTCCATGCCTCGTTCCATTCCGGCCATGGCTTCTCTCCGGCGAGTGGCCTTCCTGGCGCTCCTCCCCGGCGCTTGGCTCTTCTGCGGGCCCTCGGCGCAGTCGCGGACGAGTCGAATGGCGCGGCGGGTGGCGCCGTGGCTCAAGGCGCCTCAGAGCCTTGAAGAGGCCCGGGGGCTGAGGCGCAAGCCAGCGCCGGAGCTAGACGAGAAGGACGGGATGGTGTTTGGGGGGGAGGTGTTGGGTTGGGGGGTGGGGGCTGGTTTGCGGATGATGTGTTGTTGTTTTTTTTGTTTGGGGAGGAGGGGGGGGGGAGAGGGGGACGGGGGGGGGGGGGTATGCAGCAATCAATGGCTGTGTGGCGGTTGTGCTGTCTAATGTCGCTGTTTTGCTTCCGAGCGTTTGCTTGCTCAGCTGGTTGTTGACTTTTTGTTCCATGAGTTTTTGGACTGCCAGGCAAATGAAACCACAACCCCGTCAACAAACGCCATGAAGCTGATGGCATGATCAAGTGGCCAGTGCTTGGGGGCAAAAAACGCGCGCACCTCAATGAAGGATGTCAAAGCATGGCGACCTGAAGCGCCCAAAAGCGACTTGAGTCCTTTCTTTGGTCCCTGGGCCTAGGTTGAACCATGCGAATCAATTCATGTTACCCTCGACCAATTGACATGGAACCTGACAGGGAGGGGAGACAATTTTCCTTTTAAAGGGAACTCCGATCGGGTTCCACGTCAACTGGTGGGAGGGTAATTCATCCACTGGGACGATCTTTCGGACCCTTCCCACAGGTTTCCCCACCCAAGCGCGCGTGTTCGCAGGGCAAGAAGGTGAAGGCGCCACAGCCTCTGGAGTGGTCTCCCCTGCACCAGCCCCTCAACGAGCGTCTCAAGAACATCGTGCCCTACCCGGATGTGGTGCGCCAGGCTCGCGCCTTAAAATGGGGGACGGTCCAGTGCTTTTGGTCAGCCTTTGTTCGGGCGAGCGCGCGACGAGCTCACTAGGATGATGGCATGGTCCGCATGGTGTTTTCTTAGGATCCCTGATTTCAAGTTTGGCAGCTGATTTGGATGAAGATCTTGGAGGGGGAAACAGAGGCAACACAGAATGATTCCACCCATGTTGTTTGGAGTTGAAGGCACGAGCATCCAAAAAGTTCTACCTCACCATACCTCACCGCAACTAGGTCCTTAGAAGGTACCTGGAAGGCACCAGCAGGTATCAGCAGGTGGTGGTAGCTACTAGGACTTGAACGCTCTAAATCCCTCTAGGTCTGGTAATATGTGGGGGCATGGGCACGGTTTGGCAGGGCACCAAAGGGACCCTCAATAACCTCCTCACATCCTCACTCTTACCTACTGGCAGAGTCACGTGGAACCCCAATCTCCTCGCTCCACCTGTTAATTTGCAAAGTACGTCGCACCCTTTGCTGGAGTTTTGTTGATGTTCATTATGTCCGCCAACAACTTTTGTGCAAGTTTTACGAAGGGCCAGGGACATACAAGAAGCGGTGATGAGCTACTTTGACCCATTTATCAACTAGATAAGAAGTTCAAGCCCTACCTCAAAAAAGAAGAAGAAGGAAACACAAGAAGCCACTCCTCTACCTTTGTGGTTCCGTCTGTTCAACGCATTCCCTTTTACCGCCTGAGGTGGAGGAGAACTTCCACGGGAAGGGGGGGCTGCAGCGGTCCTACCACGCGGCCAAGTTCGCCAAGCCGGTGGAGCCCACGGAGCTGGACAAGAAGGCGACGGATGGGCAGGGGAGGGGATCGGGGAAGAAATGGACGGCCCAGAAACAGGGGGGAATTGGTGGATTGTCTTGGTGCGATAGGGAGGGACTGAGACTTCACCCCAAGAACCAGGTTTCAGGGGGATCGGAGGGGATCAGAGGGGAAGAAATGGACGGAGCGTCCCAAAAAAAACGGATTCGGGGGGGGGGGGGTCGGGGATATATGGAGCTGGACCTGAAAAAACCCTAACCCCCCCCCCAAAAAAAAGCATTCATGTGGTTGATTTTCTTGGTCCGATAGGTAGGGGATGAGAATTCAACTCGCACCACTTTGAAGCTATAGTTGAAGCCATTGTTGGTTGGCATTTTAGGGGGATCATCATTCCAGTTTTTCTTAGGTGGTGCAGGAAAAGGCCCATCCATAGTAGGTGTCCAGGGTTCTAGGATCACTCGGGGCTTATACCCACTATGATGCAAGTTGGAATCCCTTCTTTTTATGAGGCCCTTTATGTCGCATCACAGAATTTGTCATTTCCCACAGCCCTGTAGGTGTCCATTGTATTTTAGCTTGGTTAGAAAAAAGACGGGTTCCACTGGTTTTGAATCATTTTATTCCATTTACCAGGGCCATTAGTTTTGCCAAAAGGTCACATGTTCATATTCATGGACACCGAGCCAGGGTGAACCGGGGGGCGGGGAGGGCGGAACTCCCTGATTAAGCCCTGAATAAGGGCTGAAAAAGGGGCTATCCTGGACTTATCCTGGCTTGTCCCGGGATAGCCCCCACCCCTCTTGTAGGGGTACATGAGAGATGGACAAATCGGGTACCATTTGGCCCCGATTTGGCGAGTAGTTGTTGGCACATTTGGTTAGACCCAATTTGGCCAAGAAAGCACCTCGGTGGACGGAGAGGAACAATTTGGACCCGGTTTGGCCATTGAAACAAAGTGCGGCGTGTGTCCAAGGGTTTTGAGGGGGGGTTGATGTGGATGTAAGGCCAAGAAATGTGGGAGTCCTAAAACGGCAAAACTGCGTGCAAAAAGAATGGATTTACCCAGAGTTGTCCTTACTGGGTCCATTGAAGCAGTTGCAGTTGCTGCCAAAATGTGGGAGGTTTGTTTCATAAATTTTGAACAAATCGCATGCTTTTTCTGCTGGTTCTCGCAGCCTTTTGGGCCCCAGCTGCCTCCCGGTTCTCGCAACCCGTGTTGAGTTGATTCGGGTTGGCAGTTTTGCGCACGTCACTTCAGCAGACCAAGAAGAAGGATACTGGATTTATCCACCGGACCTTTGACCTTGTTCTTGTCTAGTCTTAATGGGGTTTCCTTTGAGATACACCCAAATCGAATTGCACATCTATCTGTGTGTTTTTGGGCAGGACCCCGTTTTGGCGGGTTGCTACCAAAAACATCAAATGGAGCCCGACCATTTCGCCCCTGGTTTTTGTGGCAAGCCCCTTTTTGGGCAGAGTTATACTTAAGTAAGATCTTGAGCGTTTGCAGGGAGCCTGCGACCACCCCAGACCGGGTGGAACTTGTGGCCCCTTTCCCGTCACCTTGCCCGGCTGGTTTCGGAAACGGACGCCCAGACCTCCGCAAGTCACAGACAAAGTGAGCCAGGCAGGCAGGTTTCGGAAAGCCATTGGCTTCCACCGGCTCAAGGTGGGCTGTACTGGAGCTTGGGCCAAGTCCTGCAGTTGGCTGGCGGTTCCCCAAAGTTTCCATCCCAAGCCCGACGGGGGCGATGCAACCCGGAAACTGCTGAGGCCAACCAGCTGGCCTCCTCCCGCACGGCAATGTTCGCCAAAGCGCCGCTGCGGCCCGGCTCTTTCGGCGAGGGAGGGGACATGAAAGAGTCAAAAGTGGGCTTGGCTCACAACAAGGGGACCCACAACAGGGGTGCTTTTAAAGCTGGTTTCACTGTGAAGAACCCAACAGACTGGCAAAACTTACAGCCAAAACGAGATGTGGCGGCGGGTGTTTGCTTCCCTCGGAATGGTGAAGGATCTCCAAAGCGGGACACCCCTCTATTAATCAACAAGCGGGTGATCAATCTGATTGTCCCTTTCCAGAGGCATACGGCGGACGCTCGAAATACTGAAAGTAGCGAGGTAAGGGGCGTTTCTGGTTGGATGTGGCTGCGTCACTTTCAGCATTCAGGGCCCCTCGCAAGGCCCTTTTTGGTCAGGTTGTTTGAAAAGAGATTGATTCCACTGGTTTCAGTTTGGTTACAATACCCTCTATTTTCCAAAAAGGGCATGCCTTTGCAACCCAAGGTTTACCCCTTAGTTGCAGTGCCACGTTACTACCATACCAACCAGTTTATTCGTAGTTTTGGTTGGTAAACATGTACCACTTGAGTTCTTACCATGGCCTTTGGGGTCTTTCACTTCCTGAACGGCAGTGGATTTCTTTCTTGCTCTTTCCCAGCAAAACGCAGGGAGACGTAGAACAAATAACAGGGCCGCCCACTTGGGTGTTTAGTGAGTGAAAGCCTGGATCCCGCTGAGTTGGGGTGGGAGGATTTGAGCCCGACTGCGCTAAAAAAAGGCCGGACCCTTTGCCGCCACAAGGGATAGCAAAAAAAAGATGAACCGGCGACTGCGGCTTCCGAATTTGAGAGGTGCAAATGCTAGTCACAGTTCCCTGGATTTTGTACAGGGAGCATTTTGCGCGGGGGTCTCCGAGTTGTGTTGGCAGTTCATTTCCATTTAAACTGTAAGTAGACGACGTTTTGGACCCCTGCCCCCAAGCATTCTCAAAAATTGGCCAACAATAGTGAACCACCTCCTTGCTTTCAACACCTGTTTTGCGCCATGTTTTAACAGGGGGCATCTCAAGGGGAAACGCAAGAGGACCCATAGAGCTGTCTTCAGACTTAGTGTCAGGTCTACTTGGAATGGAAGCCACTAGGCGTTTTGAAGAACCCCTTTGCAAGCACTCGGATGCATTTAAGAATATGTTGGAAACAGCAAGGACAATGCCATTTTTTGGGGCCTTCAGACTTAATGGTCCAATGGTTTTGGAGTCAGGCAGGGTGTATGCATTGGCAGTAGCTGCACTTCCGCCATTCATTGCATGGATTTTTTTCTTTCAGAGGGGTTGCCTGTGTTCTAATTTTCCAAAACAACGCAGAGGGGGACCCACAGCAAACCACAACCGCCGCGCCTTTGCAGAACTAAGTAGCCCAAATAAATCCCCCGAAGCACGCCACTCAGGGATTGATCTGGTTTTTTTCCAGACACCCTATGTAGCTCACCGTGACTTCAAGCATTCATGGAGCAATGGCGTAAAACCGTCATTCTCTACCTTGATCCTTGGGGTGCAATAGTTGGGCGCTGACTTTTGCATCCGGGCGATGCGTCGAGGCTATACAACGGCCTCTGGCCCAAGCAGGACCCCACCATCCCAGAGGTGGCCGTCATCGGCAGGTCCAATGTGGGCAAGAGCTCTCTGCTGAATCGGATCTCACAGTTTGGGACTGTAGCCAAGGCGCGGCGCACAAGTTGAATGCATCAGAATGAACTGGCTCTTATTGTTGAGAATTCCCTTTTGGAGTGATTTTAAAGGGAAATTGTACGGAAAACCGTACTTTTTGAGGGTCCCCGAAAGAAAGGCGCCCCCGAATAAATACTGGCTTGTATGTGTTGATGCTTTGTATTTCGAGGGTCCCGGAATTGCCAAGTTGGCTCCATGGTGTGGAGGAAGCATTCCGAGAGCTCATGGCAGTTATTTGCAGCAAAGCGGGCTGTTGACAAGATCCAGGTCAGTTGGGGTAAAGAGGTTCTACTTTTATTCGCGCCCATATCTCAATCTCGGATTATTGATACCTTGGCAAGGCTTGTGTAACGCAAAGGACTTATTCCCTCCGGGGTACCTGGAGTAAGATAGGGGATCCTCGCAACCAGTAGGTTTGTTTTAGGCCACAAGTTGGTGGGAACACCCTTGGATACTTGTCCCACTTGGAAAGTAGCGCGCAATCATGGTTGTAAGTGGCACCATTGGGTTAACAAACGTGCACGAACACCGCACAGAGGTATAGTATATGTATAATATATAGACAATGAGGCAAACAACATATTCTTACATCTATACGGAGAGAGATGTATGTACATTTGTATAATATATATATATATAGATAGTGATGCTTCGTATATACATACATATTGATGTGTATATACATGGATACATATTTGTATCTATGCATATGCAAATGCAGAAACGGTTATTTTCTACTGTCTATGCAGCTTGAACACAAAACACGCCCGGGAAGATCTACCGCGAGGCCTGAGTTTGCGCGCAGGTGTCTTGCATGCCGGGCCAAACCAAGCAGGCCGCCTGGTACCGGAACCGCAAGGCCACCGCGGGGCCGGGGTGGGGGTGGGTGGCTTACTTGGAGATTCCATTCGTTCACGTGCGTAACGCGATGCGGTAGGTAGTTCTCTTGGTGTTGAAGGAAAACTGACATGGCTTGTAGGTTCTTGTAGGCATTTTACCTTGAGGCGCCTTGAAGCAAGTAGAAGCTTCTTGTCAGGTTGTGGGACGTTGCTTTCCATTTCGGAAGCTTGATCTTGTGACCCCGTATCGTGAAAGAGCGCGACCTCCTTTCAGGCTTCGCCGGTGACATGAAGCCCACCATCGTGGGGGTCAGTTGTGCCAACCATTTCTCCCGTTCAGGGGCCTTTGTTTTTGGTTTGGCAGCTTCCTCAATTGGAGAAAACAAGCCACAAAGCCAAACCTCCGTGAGTTCTCTCCCTTTTTTTCTGCTCGGATCACTGGTTGGGGCCAAAAAAAAAACGCTTGCCGGCCACCAGGTGCGCCTGGACTTCATCGACATGCCGGGGTACGGGCACTCCGCCCGCGCCAAGGTCTTTGGGCCGGAGGCGGGCGGAGTTCCGGGACCTCGGGGGGGTTAAACCCGGGAGACTAGGTCCCCCAGCAATCGGTGCCAACTTTTACCGTTTCTTTTTTGGGGGAGGGTTCCCCTACTAAACTAGACAACCGAAGAAACAAGTTGGTACCCTTATTCCTAGCCTCTCTACTGGAGGACCTATGAGAGGAACTTGCAAGTTCAAAGGCAGGAGTTGGAACGTTGGAACGGGGGGGGAAGGAACCCAAAGGCCCAAAGGAGTGGTTCAAGCAGCTCAGACCATCTTACCATTGTTGTCGTTGGGAAACATTTTACATTTTTGCTTGTTGCAGTTTAGTGGGAAATCCCGACTTAATTGTTAAAAATTAAAATGTTGCTCCCCTTCCAACGTCAACCATCTTACTGGAGTGGGAACACTTCAGACCATCTTAATGAATTCCTGCATCGCAGTTGCTAGATGCCTGCTGGCTTGCTGTCTGAGATTCGGCTCAGCTGTGGGAACCCGATTCCGATGTGTTGATAGATGTCACAGCTGCCTTGTGTGGATTCAGAAGGCTTAGCCATGTCGAGGTTGAAGTGACGCAGAGCCCAAGATGTTTGATGCCAGGGCTGAATCCCGGCTCGTAGCGCCTATTTTACTGTGTTCAAATTGGATGTTCTCGGCTGACCACGGCAACAATCAGTTTTGAACCTGATGCAACCAAAATGATTGTGTTGCCTAATGAAGGGTGGAATTTTTGCCAATCGAGCTAGGGCGGATCAATTACTCCAGAGCTCGCATCAACCAACAACCGACTCCCCAGCAAACAGCATGACAACATGTGGCTTCTATGTGGTTTCCCTTTCGGCTAGCCCCAAACATGGTGCCAACTAAAAAAAGGCGTACCCAAAAGTCACCATATGCGGCAATCACTGCGCCAAGAGCTGAGGAGGAACATCGATTGATGAATCCTGGGGAAGCGCCTTTCCCACTAAAAGCCA